ATTCTTGTGCAATTCATCACGATGGACTGATCTGCTTTCATTCTTACCTATTATCTCTCACTGGTGCCACCAAAGTGTATACAGATAGCGCAGGCGGGGTTACCATTCCATTCTAAACCATTAAAAAAGTTATATAAATTCATAGTATTGTTTCCATAGCTGATTAATAAAATTAAAAAAGTAACAAGTTAAAACCATAGATAAAAAAATAATACTTTTTTTTTCTATGTTAAAACCTACATATTCGCCACAAGTCCCACCCACATGGCGCACATGCCAAAAATTATCGGATCGCGCCCCCACGTAGGTACGGGAGCATTCGCAAATCGCCCTTTTTGCCAATCAATCGCGACATCGACTCATGATTGGTTACCCTGCACGTCCCAACAAATAACCAACATAAAATAACCCCTAGTGCAAGAAAAAACGGTTCACATTCCTACTTAACAACTAGGGCGCGCAAGCTCAACTTGATTTGGTCGTAGAACACATATGACGTAATAAAAGTTTTATTTTCCCCTGATTTCCCTCGTTTCTCAGTGCCCCCTGGGATCCGACCAATCAAATTTAATTCACGATTGACGTTTCGACGTTCCAAATTCGAATTGTATTTTTAATGCGGTTCTAATTTTCTTAAAATATAGTCGCCAGTACTTATATGTTATTTTTTTATAGATGAACGATTAGGTTTGTAATAAAACTAATTATTTTTCGCTAGTTATTTTAGTACAAACGAATCTTCTGTTATCTTAGTGGTGTTTCTTTTTGTTTATATTATTGTAGACACTTTCCAGAGTAGTTATATAAATTTCTATAATAATAGCTGATTTTACTATAGCAAAATAACACTTATTACATAGGCGATAAAGTTAATTTTTCCATAACTGATCGGCACGTTATAATCTTGCAAGATCTGTTTTGGAGGACAACGGGGATCATTGCAGGGGACCAAAAAAGCTGAATTGTTTAAACTGTACTTCATTTTTAATACGTTTGCACGTGGCTCTCCGAAATGTTGTTGTCAATATTTTTTACTATAAAATAAAATTAATGAAAGAATATATTTTTAAAGTGTATATAGAAAAAAGTATGGACAAGTTTCAGTTTTATAATATTTTATGATTTTTATACTTTTTATATTTTAATTTTGTAGATTTTGCGAGTCTATTATAAAACGCATAGTAAAAGATATTATCATCGTCATATAAGATATAATTCATCGTAAAAGATATAAATGTAGATATATCGCTTAATCATATTTATTATTAAATGTTTAAGTACATAAATTTATCAATTATTTTCAAAATAAATGAAAAATTGTAAAAATATTCGTAATGTATCGCTTAAAATAAATTTGTAAAAATAATAATTTTAATATTAAGCTACTAAATAATTATAAATATAATAGACAAGAAGAAAGAAGAAATATTTTTATTCAAGCAAACTTAGATTTAAGCATTTTTATAGACATATTTTCATTATTTTGTCCTATTTTATTTTAATATAATACATACATAGGTATACAGGAGACAACTCTGTCGAATACAAGAACTATTATCAAAATTTAGATTTTGCAATGTTATAGATTAAATTATACTCAAAAAGAGGAATTGACCCTTTTAAATGAAGTCGTTTATACAAAAAAAAAAAAGATAAGTAATTAAAGTAAGTTTTTGAATGTTAATGCAACAAAGAAATATCAGGACGAAACCACTGGCCGAAACTTAATAGCTGTTGGATTTAGAATAAAAAAAAAAGGACAAAGACGGCCGGCGTAGATCACCTATGATTACGGAGGGTTGCACCCCCATTACATTAAAATTCTGAACCCTTTCGGCCGATTCATTATTTCTAAAACGCACCTACGTGCTCCGGCATTCACCTCGGTTCAATTTTTTCATTCTGCTCCTATTATTTTACAGTGTGACGCGTTACTTATAGTTCTGTACTGCGATTCACTAATCTTGATACTTTCACCCAGAAGAACTGGTAGATAGTCCTTTTAATTATTATCTTACTCCCTTATTTATTGTATAAAAACAACAAACCTTTTAAAAACCTATTTTAACTATACAAGTATTTTGTCCTTTTCTTTTACATTAGTTTCTCAATTTGAAAGACAGTGACAAAGCATTAATAATTAAAATAGGCTTGTAGGACGTTTTAGTTTGTATAAATAAGAGGGGTAGATTATATGATGGTCTCCATGTCTAAAATATAAATGCTTTACAAAAAACAGGTCAACTGTTTTGTCTAAATTGGGATACAAGAATTTGTATTTATTACTAAGTATATATTTATAATGTAAAGTTAAGTTGAATAATAAAAATGATACAAAATATTTAGGAATATATTTGAAGGAACTTAATAGACCTTAACGAATCCTCAGCGAAACCAATTAGTCAATTATTCGGTTCATTTATATTTACAAAAAGTTCGATGTAATAATCAAGTTGATTATTAAAAAAAAACATACATTCTTGATTGTAATTCTTGATGGAGCAGTCATAGATATTTGTAGACTACTGCTGTTGTAGTAAACGTAGTAGTCCATATTCCTACGTTTTGCATAGGATATTTTTTTTTTCAATTGAGAAAATAAATATTTTAGCACATTTGTATTTGTATATATTATTATCCGATAAGTATTCAAGTCATCTTTTAATTAATCAGAAAAAATATAACAATTACAAAGTAAATTCCTACTATAGTAATCTCTACCTACTTCGTGATGAACCTGATATGTAAATAGGTATGTACGTGTTGAATTTTATAAATATATTTATATGAGTGACATGGTTTCTTTATCGAATAATACTTGACACTAAAATAAAATGAAGTACCAAGATATAAGATTTAGATAGTCGTTAAACTGAACATTAAAATTTCTGTTATAGATGTCATAAAAAATAAATATATTTAAATGTATTTTTATACTATGGACATGACAAACGATGTAACCTATCTGATGGTGTTATACACCACAAATTGCGTATAGGCCATGAACACCTGCAACTCTAGGCTCGTCAGGTCTTGTTAACCTTGTGAAACAAGGTTTTTACTTTAGTATCTATTTGTACCACTTCGCAAATATATCAATAATAAATTTGAAACATTAAAACACTTTTATTATAAGTTATTTATAAAGAATATAACATAGGATTGTTCTAAATTTGTAATCACTTCTTAACACTTACACCTAAATTATTATTTATTATTATATTCATGAAATAATATACATAGTAATTATAGCATACTTTATAAACTAAAAATATAAATTTTTACTGTTATTGGACCACCTTTTAAATGTAAAATATTATACAAATCTATTATAAATTACTATAAGCATACAAACAAGTTTTACAGTTCACAGATTTTATATACAACAAATTGGGGAAAAATAACATAGTCGACAAGAATAATAATACGACAACGAAATAATAAATCTATACATATTCGCAAATTATAGGGGTTTAATTAGACTCATAAATAGTTCATTAGCAATTATTAAAGATTTAGTCTTTATTTAACAAATAATCTCAATATCTAAAAACTGTGTCACGCTAATCTCTGAAACTGCTCAACAGACTGAATGAATGAATGAATGAATGAATGAATGAACGAAAACTCTTTGTTGTTCTCTACAACAAACAACGGATTTTAATGAAATTTTGTAAATGTATATAGTTTTCTCCAATTAGTGATAATTTTTGATTCGATAAGTAACCTATAGGGGGAAAAACAATGATTATTAGGTCAGCTTTATGAAAACTAAAATAAAAAATTTAAACGATCAACCCCTGTGCGTCGCGATACACAGCCCCTTGAGTCCAATGCGCAACGGTGCCACCATGACGTATCACCTCTGCATATTAATTCAGCATTTAATATCTATAAATAATAATAATGGAGCTTTGTTTTAGAACGTTACACTGTGGCCCGCTGCAAATGTTTCGTATCAAAACGATCGTCCCTACTTATCCATCTGTCATTTGACTTACTGAAGTATCAATATAAATAGTCGAATATTATTAATGGAAAAATTAATCTGTTGATCTGTTTGTTACAGGTCATCATCATCGTTATCATTGTCATCATCATTACAATTAAAAAGTATTATCAGTCTACAATTAAAATAATCTATACTGGACGTGTTGATTTTTTTATGCTACTTAGAATGGCAAACAAGTCATTTCTTAGAAAGTGGTAACTATCACTTCTTGACATGACACACCACTACACACACACACATACACTATGGTGATATACCACACATGTGTTGCTATATCAGAGGACTACGGTACTATAATTATATATGGCAGAGAATTTAGAGGATACAGAGGAATAACATCTGAGTCCTCAAGAATGGCAACACATGGGGGATATCATGGGCGAAACAGTATACTCTATTATGTCCATGGTACTGTTCATATCTATAGGCGACAGTTACCGTTTTGCATCAGGTTGCTCGTCAGCTTGTTTACCATTCTAAGTTGCATAAAAAATTCCTGCGTGTCCAGTAATTTACCAACATTTAAACTGAAAAAAAAAGGTAAGCATAGCTACTGCAGTGATAGAATATTGAAAATTTTGAAGTGAAGAAAGAAAAACGAGTGAGACAGAGATACCCAAATAGACATGTTTTTTTTGTACGAAGTCTCTCTCTGGTACAATGACTTTAATTGAATTTTAACTTGATTAATAATATTGGAAATATCTATTGAAATCAATTTAGAGTATATGTATAATACATAGAGCTAAATATACGTCACAATTTTACAATATTTTCAAAAGAAGGTTAATAATTAGAGATTTAAGAACTTATCTATTTGTGACAATGTGACATAAATCAAATTTGACATCTCATTGACTGACGGACATAATAAAAAAAATCATTATTCTAAATTAAAAAGATGCGACTAAGAACACCGTAATTTTCGTGGAAACCATAAAAACGATGCCATCTAAGGAAGACGAGTTGTTAGGCAGTTAGCCTCGAAATGAATTATAATCCTGCCGCATTTCTAATGACATATGACCCCGGCTGCATTGAAGAACATTCGGACAGTTCGGAGTTCGATGAACCTGGTAAACTTGTAAACTCTAGAAGAGACTGTACTAAATTACATGAAACATTGCTTAAGAAATGGTATAAAATGGAAGATAACATTATTCATCGAAGTGCTAATCCTGGGCATGAATACAATAAATTATATAGAAATGATAACGATGATTATATGTGGAGACAGCAACATTACGCGAGTATTAATGACACAACTGAAATTAATGAAACTAAATTAAAGGCGAATAGAAGAAATAATCACAATGATTACAGTGGAAATATTTCGACAAATAACAGAGGTGATCAAATGAATTGCAAAGAAATAAAACAAACGAAATCAAAATGTTCACTGATGCGGCACAAACTAATACTGTGCTTGTCCAATATCTTCACTCGTACTAATAATAGCTCGAAACATACGAACACGGAAAACCGCACCAAAAACACATACAGAGATAACAGTTGTCAAGTATATTGTACTTTTTGCAAACACAAACAATTGAGGAAATACAATAAAACCCATCAAAGTTATTTAGTCCAACCAGTGTATATCGCCGAGGGATGTAAAGAATATGATACAAGTACTGTCCCTTATTATAAAAAAAGATTTTTTCAGACTAGAATTCCGCAAGGTACAGTTAAAGTTACTAGAAATGTACATTCTAACACCAGTTTTAGTCTTACATCACTTGAAAATGAACGTCGTCAAATTATTCCTACAAGAGGAAAATCTTTTAAAACTCAATGCAATATAGTGAAAGAAGAATTAAAAACTCAGTCTAAAAACTATTCCCTCGAGGAAAATGAGCCATGTTCGTCCAAATATGGATACCAAGTATTGTCAACACCAGAAAATTATCAAAGTACAGCGACAGGGAGTGATTGTGTCGGGAGCCCTAGTCAGAGTATCGCGATTTCAAATTCATCTGCATTTTGGGAATATGTCTTTGACAAAATAAGCAAACGTTATCATATACATAAAACAGATAGCAATAAGACACCTTACGATAATAATATTAGTTCACAATGTTCACAGTATAACGTACAGACTAAAAACGCGACTACATATTGTTGTACAAAATGTGATAAAGGTACATCTGATAGATCATGTACTTGTAACACTAATACAGAACAAGATATTTTTGACAAACTACGTGATGAAAATCCGCCAGAAATTTCTCGTTTATCATCTTCGAAAGACAAGGAAGATATTAAATCGAAAACTGTCCAATGTAAATGTTTACAAAAGAAAATAGCTCTAAAAATACCTAAAGATTTTACGTCATCATTGATACCTCCAGCAGACGATGTAAATAGACCATGTCAAGAACCACACGATAAAATTACTCAAGAATTAGCTAACAAATATAATGGCGAAATCCTTTGTATCCATAATCCACCGTGTATTTTAATTAACGGTTGTTTTAATTTATCTTCGCATAATGTACAAACAGTACCGGCCTGGTCTATGACTCAAGAAATAAAGCCTAGTTTCTACAAACTGTGTCAGAGATTTAAAAGTCTGAAAAGAAACAGCAATCAATCGGCTCAATACCCATTAGCTGAACAGCGACAGTATCAGATAGAGGAGAAAACTGAGAAAGTGACACAAAGTATTTGTAACCACAAACCTCCTTGTGAGATCGTGAGGCGTTGCTACAAAGCTAAATACGATCCAAAACTTGAGAACTCTTGTATTCACGTACCTATGTGTCAAAAAATACCTGAATGTTTGTTAAATAACGAGAAAATTTATGTTAGATCATGTGAGCATACACCTAAATGCATGGAAGTACCTTTATGTAGGAACAAGTATCTCATATTGACTGCAAAGGACAATATAGGTACTCAAGTTAAGCCTAGAACGAAGATGATATGTCGACATGTCCCGCCGTGTATTATGATACCCAAATGTCTTGGTCGGCTCATGAATGAAAGTTATTTTCCATATGATGCTATTCCAAACTGCATTCACGAGCCAATGTGTGAATTAATACCAGCCTGCGGTAGAAAACCTCCCAAAATGGTATCTGTTTACTCCCAGTATCCTGCGCCTTGTCGTATAGTCTAAGAGATGGAATGTATTTTACGAATATCAATATCATTTTTATGTATGTATTGCAAAGTAATTAAACGATTGAAACGATCGAAATCTAATTTATCATACAGTATTCGAATATAGTTATCATGGTTTGTACGTAACGATATGATCTTTGAGTCGACTTATTAATATAATTTTACGTTAATGTGATCAATGTGTTATTGCGCTTTGCTTGTAATTAAGTTCGATAAATATTTTTAAAATTTCTACTGCAATATGTTATACTTTTTCCACTCTTACTTTTTAGATGCCGATGAACAAACGTATCATAATAAAATTTTCAGAAATATACAAACGATTTAAGCGACACTTATTACGCAGAAGTGAAGAGTTAAATGTATTAATATAATGTATAATGTGATAAGTGCCATTAAATGCGTCGTTGGTCAGAGAATTTGTTTTAATTATATCAGTATGTAGAACTAGCTTTTGAAATTTCGTCTACGTGACTGAGATCTGGAGGCTACCATGAAACACTTTCTGAAATTTCGGAGCCGAACAAAATTCAAATTTGATGTTAAAAATACATAATACATACCGTTTAAATATTATAGAGGTTCAAATATGAAGGATATTTCTATTTTGACTACCATGGTAGAATTTATGATGAGCAAGATATTAAGCTCCAATTATTGAGCCGATTTCCGTATGAACAAAAATACGAAATTGAGTCGAAAAATTCGGAATTTCATTTCATGGTGGACCCCCTGGTGATTGACTAGGATAAATGACTTATGTCCTTCGCCCTAAATAGTACTTGTATATCAAATTTTATTATGATTGGTTGAGTCGTTTAGGTGCCGAGAGATAACAAATATACAAACTCGTTTTTGCATTTATAATATTAGGGTTAGATTTTATTAAGCAATTATATAGCATACACAGATAATCCCACGATTGGGGTACAGCACTTTCCTACCATGGAAACTAGTTCGAGTGAGGGCTATTATTGAATTAATTCTGATTGGTATGTTAATTTGTACTAACAAGCTTTTCAAACTGTTACCTTACACGGGTATAAGTATATTATAATGGAAAATCTGTTTAAGATGATGATAAGGCTACCATCGTACGTGTGTTATACTAATGATTCGGTACAAAGAATATATACTATATTAAAATTATGCCTGTTTAAACTAGTTTTTATACGCGATATCCGATACACAATGATCAAGATACTCGTATATTTATGGACCTGGATATATCGTACCTTAGTCCATTTCCATTCCAAATAGTATGTGTAGGTATATTTAATTTAAAAATTAAAACGCTAAGAGGTAACAAACAAACTCACTTTCATATAGACAACATTAGTAAGAATTCAGGTTTCAGGTAGTATGCCGTCGGAGATGTGGTGAGTGCAAAAGCGAACCCATGTCTCTGGCATATGACACCTCGAGGGTATATCGTCTGGTTTTTGGTGGGTACACCCCCACCTTAAGGGGGGATTCCCACAGTACCCAATCACCTCCAACAAGGTGTATGAGTCTGAATAAAGCATTTTCCAGACGTTAAAAAAAAAGGTTTCAGCTAGTATTAAATTTTTTCATTTGTACTCTTCTAAAATATTTAGTCTTGATACTTGTAAATCTAAACTACTCGACATTATCTAATATTCATCGTTTCTTACTATTATAACGAGCATAATACTCGACTTGCCCACATTTTAGCAAACATATTAGAATCCAACGTGGCAGGGGGGCGAGCCTCACGCAGTCATTTGGATTAATTAAGTTTCTTATCAGCGTTACTATATATGGCGAGTTAAAATTTTTTTTCACATTTTTGTCTATGCTTCTTGAAGGACCTTCAGCTTTATGAATTAGATTCATCAATATACTTTATTATTCATAATATAAGAGTCAGTGTTACATCTACTTCAATCGAAGAAGATTTTAGATGAGATGGAGACAAGCAATAGCATGACTTAGGATAAGATAAGACTTAGGATGGCAAACAAGCTGACAGCCCACCTGATGGAAAGTGGTAACCGTCAACATGTTGGACATAACAGAGTATACTGTTTCGCTCATGATACCCCCCATGCGTTGCAATTCCTGAGGACTTAGATGTTATTCCTCTGTACCCTGTAAATTCACGCCATATCCCACCTTTCAAACCGAAACACAGCCGTACAAACACGACTGCTTTACGGTTGAAACACGAATGAGACAGAGATATCCAAGCAAACGACTTTTGTACAAAGTTTCTCTCTGGTAGAACATTATTATAGTAAACGTAAACTTAGATCTTTTTTTTAATTCCGTTCCTTAAAAAGATAAATTGATATCATCATCATCATCATCATATCAGTTATTAATTGTCCACTGCTAAATGACCTCTCATACAAGAGGGCTTTAGCCAGTAGTTGCCACGCTTGTCACCAAGTAACTGGTAAAATTTGACAACTACTGGCAAAACTTGACGAGGGTGTCGTAAGAAGGGATTAAGGAAACTTAATAGTCAAGGTGTGGGAAGGACCATCCCTCTTATCATCACCAAAAGCCTAACAGCGGTTGCCAACTCATCTGCCAAGCATGGCAAATACAAGTTAAAGCCCCCAATAGAGGGAGGCCTATGTTTAACAGTGGACAGTTAACGGATGATATGATAAATAGGAAAACAATAGATATGTAATTTTTAAACCTAATAAGTATTATTTGGGAATCTTAACATTTACTATGAAGAAAAATATAAAATAAATAGTTTTAATTTTTTTTTTCTTTTTATTGAGCAAAATTAGCAATCACTTTTCTTCTTTTAAGATGTGTATACATATACTCGCCTAATATAAGTTCAAATCATGTTTGATCTTTTATATATGCAACTAAATAGATTCCACCTTCACTATCAATGACGTTTTACATTGTAATGTTTAGTTTTAAATGTATTTCTTGTCGTAGATTGAAAATTAAAAACTAATTAATTAATTTGACACTCAAATACAAAACTGTAAGAATGAGTTTTCTACAAATCTGTATATCTAAACTAAACGAAATTATCGACATGCAATGGTCACAAAAACCGGCTTTAACTCTATAAACATTTCAACGCAAGTTAGAAGGTATTTCCTAATCTATAGCTATACCCGACCGAGGAATTTTATCATTTTAACCGTCTAAAAGTAGAAAACCAGTTGTAGTACGCTTGTAACAAAAAAATTCTCGTCTGCGTACAAATTAAAGTGTACCGTAGCCCCTTGACTATTCGAAGTATTTTTGGTCGGCTCTCGTGAAAAGGATACGACCTTATGGTTTTGTTATGGGTGTGATCAAAAACTAATGAGTGGAGAACGTTGAACCTGACCAGTTTTGGTCTTTGGTAGTTTTAGGGTTCCCTAGGCGGGTCTATAAAATATACAATGGTATACCAATAATATTTATGACCCTTCTCTAAAAGGGAATAATAAAAATGTCGTCTTTTGTATATTTTCAAATCGAATGAGATTTTTTTAAAGACATTTCAAATATTGACCGAACTAATATGGGATCGATCCTTTTTCCCATTTAAGAGTTTGCTCTTGTCGGGGCATTCATGTATTCTCTTCCAGCCAGCTCTATTCCAGGCCTTATCTTTGACCTCCCTATATGACATTATACCTAGTGTTTCCTTTATCTGTCCCATATAGTTATTTCTCGGTTTTCCCCTTCCTCTTTTGCCCTCTATTTTTCCTTCTAGTACGCTCTTTAAAAAAGTCGTCATTTTGTGTAAGGCGGTCCAGCATTTTGCCTTTTCTATTGTCTATAATCATTCCACAATTTAAATTAATAAGTTAAGAATACACTTCTTTTGATGTCGGTTAAAAAAGTAGAAAATATATATCAAAAAAATAAAAATATTAAACCAAAAATATATTTTATTATAAAGTTCAAGTTAGGTGGTTAGGTTTATTAACTAGCCTTATTCGTCTTAACAAGTATTAATCTCCCACTTTCAGTTGTAGTTGTAGGCCCTCTTAGGAGTAGGATTTATATATATATAAATATAAATCAACAAACATTATATAAATTAACATTGATTATACATATTTGTATGGCCAAGATATGTTCATTGGCCGTAATAAAAAGGTGCCTATGTCCTTCTCCATCCCATATACTATGTGTGTAAAAAATATCAAAGTGATCAGTTAAATCTTTAAGGCGCTGAGAGACAATATACAAACAAACTCATTTTCACATTTGTAATATTAGTAAGGATTACCACGATGACTCGGCGGCTTAGGATAAGTATTTTATTATTATATTATATCCAATTCATTATATCCATGTCATGCACGGATGTATTTATGCTTTGTTTCTCTAGTCGCCTCGGTTACATTTTAAAAATATAAAGAGGTGATGTCGCAGTTTATATTTTATTCATTTTTATTTAATACAAAAATACACAGTTCTCTTACAAAAGTCGATTGCTTGGGTACCTCTGTCCCATTCGTGTTTCAACCGTGAAGCAGTTGTGTTTGCATGTCTGAGTTTTGGTTTGAAAGGTGGGATATGGCGTGAATTTACTGGGTACAGAGGAATAACACCTGAGTCCTCAGGAATGGCAACGCATGGGGGGGTATCATGGGCGAAACAGTATACTCTGTTATGTCCATGGTCCAAAAATCCTTACTGTACATATTAAGGCAACGATAAAATAAAGATTAAAAAAAATCCATACTATAAGAGAATGCACAAAAGCATATAAATAAATAAATGTTTCAGAAAATAAACAGGATGAGGTCTTGGTGATTCTGTAACCTAGTATAAAACTCAATCTCTCGCAAAAACCAAATATCCTATTTTCTAATTTAGATTGTTTATATAATATAAATTTAATTCTAACCTTTGTTGCGAGAGAAATAAAATATACGATTATAAGTAACGTATACTAGTTAAATACTTTATTAACAATACGGTAAAAGGAATAACAGCGTTTATTACGTAATCATACAAACAAACAGAACCATTTTAACACTGTAATAAAGTTTAACTAGAAGGTAGAGAGAGAACGTAGAGAAACTGTCGTAAACTCTTCTATACTCGTTGACTTTGCTTCATCCGCTAGTAATAGTGAATATAGGTTGAAGTTATTTATTTATTTTTTCATCACCATCATCATATCAGCCTTTAACTGTCCACTGCTGAACATACGCCTCCCCCTTGGAGGGTTTTGCCA